TATTTCTAAGGTATTCACCGGGTAGTGTTGATACTAATTTTTAGCTGTGAGTAAGGTTAAACTGAAATATTTGGGATTCATGAAGCTTGTACATCTTTTACAAAAACAACATATGAGGACATATTAGTCTTTTGTTCATTTATCGCCACCTGTAGAAGGTCTGAAGGGGTTGCAAATGAGAGACCATGTTTGTGTGACCGGGTGGAGAAGGCATACAGATAACACACCCACGGTTGTTTCTTTTTTCCTTTGAAGTATGCGCCTTGTGCGTGTGAAATTAATGCTTTTCCCTTAAAGGAGCCTCATAGCAAACACACCATTGTTTGGGGGGTGGGGGTGGGAGGTAGGGGAGGCAAGTTAGCTTTTGTGTTACAAAGCATTGCCAATAACTGTGCATGCATCTCCGATATAGTTGCTAGATGCATCAATGACCGTCCAAATGACTGATTATATATTATTTACAGGAAATCTTGTAGGTTATATCTGGCAAAAGGAAAGGTTTTTTAAAATCCCTTAGTACATTCGGATAAATTTTAACAGAGCTTTTCAATAAAATAGTTTCACGCTCGTAATTTAATGAGCTTTCTCTAAGTTGATACCTAATTAAAGAGATAAAACTATTAAGTTATTTTCTGTATTACATAATGGCTTATAAAACGTTGTATGTGTGTGATAGCAGGTAGAGCAGTTCAGTTAATAAGTTTTTGTGAAAAAAAGGTTATATTCTGGGCACTTTTTTCTACAGGAGTTATGGAAGATGAGGAATTCACGCCTGAGCAAAGGAAAGGACTTCGCGAACTTCTACTTGAATGTTTAGAACACTTCGATGAACAAGAAATGTTGGATTTTTTGACACATTCCATCGAATTCAGAGTCAAGTTTTGTCCTCCGCCGCATTACCTTCTACCTCCTGGCCTTTATCCCAGTACGTTTCCAGGCGCTGAGTCGGGACCTAGCATCACTCCGAGGTCCCCTTCAAAACCACTTGGCATTACTCCCAGGTCCCCTACAAAAACGCCTTTGCCCAATTCAAAAGCTAATCCCAAGACAAGAGCAACTACCACTTCCAGTGGCCAAACCTCAGCAAGTCCCATAACCACAGACGCTGCCACCCAGTCAGCCTTGGTTAAAGAACGCCGACTCATTGAAAACGCAGTCTTTGAAGACGACATGGCTGATTTAGCTGAAGACGTTACATTCGAAGACGCAGCCCTCTCAAAAATCCAGTCTGACGAGCCTGTTTTGAATCAAAAAGGCATTAAAGACGATGCTAAAGC